ATTAAAATATTTTATTTTTTGTTAATAAATTCTAAAAAATATTTGTTTTATTTATTAATTTTTGGCTGCATTGGGTCTTAGTTGCTGCGTGCAGCCTTTCTCTAGTTGTGGCCAGCGGGGACTACTTTTCATTGCAGTGTGCGGGCTTCTCATTGGGATGGCTTGTCTTGTTACAGAGCACAGGCTCTAGGTGTGTGGGCTTCAGTAGTTGTGGCACGTGGGCTCAGTAGTTGTGGCTCCCGGTCTCTAGAGCACAGGCCCAGTAGCTGTGGCTCATGGGCTTAGTTGCTCTGCAGCACATGGGATCTTCCCAGATTAGGGCTTGAACCTCTGTCCCCTGTATTGGCAGGCAGTCTCTAGAGCACAGGCCCAGTAGCTGTGGCTCATGGGCTTAGTTGCTCTGCAGCACATGGGATCTTCCCAGATTAGGGCTTGAACCTCTGTCCCCTGTATTGGCAGGCAGATTCTTAACCACTGCACCACCAGGGGAGCCGTAACTATTTTAAATGCATTGAATTTCTAGGGGTTTTACTATATTTCTAGCAACAGTCATGAAATCTAGTTCACAACAGTGACTACTGTAAACAGTTTTATAGCTCTACATCTGTCATTTAAGCTTTCTTTTCTCAATTTATCAAAGACTTGGATGAGGAAAACGTGAAAATTTTCTAGCACTCGCTATAAAGCTTTCTCTGTTTTGAAATAAGGATCTTTTTATTTTAAAAATCACCTTAGGGGGCTTCCCTGGTGGCGCAGTGCTTGAGAGTCCGCCTGCCGTTGCAGGAGACGCGGGTTCGTGCCCCGTTTCGGGAGGATCCCGCATGCCGCGGAGCGGCTGGGCCCGTGAGCCGTGGCCGCTGGGCCTGCGCGTCCGGAGCCTGTGCTCCGCAAATGGGAGAGGCCACAACAGTGAGAGGCCCGCATAACGCAAGAAAAAAAAAAAAAAAAAAAATCACCTTAGTAAAACTTGAGTGAAGATGATATCATGGCCTTCATTCAGACAATGCCCTACTATAGAATATTGGCATAGATACATATTTTGGGTAGAAGAACTTTTCTGGAAACAGTGAAAAAAATAACATATTGTGCATGGTTATAGGATTGCCTTCATTTTACACTTTTCATAAATCATCAAATTTACATTTTGCAGCAGATTCTTTGTATTTCAGAACTGGACAGAGAGTGGAAAATTCTTTAATGAAGTAACATGTAAAATGAAGTAGAATTTTCATGTTTTCCTCTTTCAAGTCTTTGATAAATTGAGAAATGAGAGTTTAAATGACAGGTGTGCAGATATATCAAATTGTTAACAGTTATTTTGGGGAAGTTATTTCATGAACTGAGGAGGAAAAGCAGGCTTTACATTTTCAGTTTATACAGTTCTGATTTTGTGTTTTTGACTTTGACAAGTGTGTACTCATTTGTAATCAAAAGATTTTTATAACAACACATGAAATTTGGAACATATCTTAAAGATTCCACAGAAGAAATTGAAAGCTATAACTTTAGGCTCAATAAACTATAGCTTCACTTTTTGATACTTATAGAGATCTTGAAAACATGGAGCTGTCTAAGAAAAATTTAGGCAATAATGTATTAAACGTTTGATAAAAGCAGGTTTGGTAGGATAGATTAATTTCAGTATTAAAATCTCTACCTACACAGTTTTTGATTATACATGTAAATATGTTGTTAACAAGTTTTGCTTTGTTTCTGTTTTGTTAAATTTAGAATCTCTACAATCAGTTCAAATCTGCACCATCTGATAGTTTAACATACAAATTGGCTTTGTGTCTTTGTATGATCAATTTCTACCATGGAGGACTGAAAGGAGTGGCACATCTCTGGCAGGAGTTTGTTCTTGAAATGCGTTTCAGATGGGAGAACAGCTTTCTGATTCCAGGGTAATAATTTCAGTTTCCAGCTTTAGAGATAGGATTTTTGTTTGTTCGCAAAATTTGACTTTTGACCCATTAATTCTCTTCTAGGAAATCTGCCCTAAGAAAGTGGTAAGAAACTTAGGACACGATTTCTGTTCAGAGGTATTCACTGCAGCAAATTTACAATAGGAAAAAAAAAGTTAAACAACCTAAATATCACACATTAAAGAATGGTTAAATAAATCATGATATGTCTCTATAATGGAAAGTTTTTTTTCCAAGAATCTCTAATAACATGGAAAGTGATCACAGTATATGTAGTAAAGTAGAATATAGTGTTATGTATACAGAGTGCTTTCAACTATGCTTTCAATTATGTTGATAGAGAATACTGAAAATATATAGAATATATATAGAAATATGTATAGAAAAATGGAAAGAAATACAACCAAATGTTAACAGTAGTTTGCCCAGGTGTGAATTATGTTTTTATTTTGCTCTTTATACATTTATGTATACATTTGTGTTCTAAATCTTCTGTCATGAACATACATTTTTATAGTTGGAGGGAAAAAACATATTTAAAGTTCATAAGTTCAGGTATTAGACATTACCTATAATTTTTTGGTATAATTTATATTGACATTTCAGTTAAAGAGTTTAGTTAGCATATATGTTGGTACTGCATAGGTTACTGCCATTTACCTGTGCTACTCAAACTAAGGGAGGAGAGTCATGATATAAGTAATATAAAGTGGTATTTGATCCAAAAATGTTTACTCTTGGGTCATTTGCCAGCCTCTGCTTAGCTGGATTCTCTCTTGGCTGATTACTGGGAACCTAGCGATTTAGCCTAGGGGCAGTCCAGGCTCCCTTTAGCAAAAGAGAGGTGGAGATCAATGGATTTTATATTGAGAATCCAGCATGATTGAGAAATGAATATATAATATAATTTCTTTTGTAAGGCATGAAATACTACATGCTAGCTACTTCCTAGGGTGAATTTCTAGGCTTTAAAATGTTTTTCAAGTTTCTGTTAGCTTGAGAGCTATCGCTAGTTTGCTGTTACTGTTGGTGAATTATGGACTAGGGGGATACAATAAATTTTGATCTTTTAATTTTATTTGGTCCACCTCATTTGCCTTATCTATAGAAACCTAGTTTTGATTTATCAGTGTGGCTAAAATATAAAAAAAGTGTAAAAATATGAATATCTGAAGTAATTTTACTAAGCTGTTTTTCCCACTACTTTATTTGATAGATTAGCAAGTGGACCCCCAGATCTAAGATGTTGTTTACTGCATCAGAAACTACAGGTAAAGATTTCCCAGTGACAGTATATAAATGTGGTCTTGGTTCAATCGGAGCTTATTCTGATATTAAATATGATAATGGATTATAGGCTATTCTCATTGTGGTGCTGTAGGTTACTTAAGTCATTGTCATTCACAACAAGGTCCAGGGAAAGGGTGGAGAATGAAAATAAAATATTCAAGTAGTGGATAGATTTTTATTTTACTGTAACTGTCACTGACGGAACGGCTATTTCCTCAGTCCTTGTCCTCCCCAAGGAAAAACTTCAGTTGAGAGACATAGAGCAGTTTTAAGCAGCAGAAGTTTTATTAAGCAAAGCGGAAGTACACTCCTGAGAAAGGATGAGAGCGGGCTGTCTGGAAACCAGAAGCCATCCTGCAGTGGGGATAGGGTTGGTTTTCAGGCGGAAAGTCCCTTCATGTGTCATTTGACTGACGAGTTGATTGACAGCTTTAGGTTATGTAACTTTTCTCCTTGTGCGCAGGTGCTTAACGCGTAAGAACCCAAGTGAAACCTATGGGCGTGGGGGGAAAACTGTAGTGCTCATTTATTACAAATAAGGCAAAATGAGCCCTGGGTTACTTTGAATCACCTTTTAGGTCTTGGTGCTCCTGCGCCAACCTTTGCTGGTGGGTTTTATCTAGGTTGGTCGTAATAAGGCTGGAAACTTAGCAGTCCTTGACCACAAAAGGGAGGATCTCTGGGCATGTTCTGATCACTGGTGTCCAGGTTGGGGAGAGAAGGATGACCCTGTCCAGAATGGGGCAGGGACCTGCTCATGTCTGACTAACTGCCTAACAATTCAAATATGAATGTTTTTTCAGATGTTAAATTGTTGTATTGAACGAAAGAAGGCACGTGATGAGGGGAGAAAGACAAGTCCTTCAGATAATGTAACTAATACAGGGGATGCTGGAAAATCTGGAGACCAGCTGGGGCCAGACAATCTAAAAGATATGGATAAGGAAAGGGGAGAGGTGGGAAAATCATGGGATTCTTGGAGTGACAGCGAGGAAGAATTTTTTGAATGCCTAAGTGATACTGAAGAACTTAAGGGAAATGGACAAGAGAGTGGCAAGAAAGGAGGACCTAAGGAGATGGCAAGTTTAAAGCCAGAAGGACGACTCCATCAGCATGGGAAACTTACACTGCTACATAATGGAGAACCTCTATATATTCCAGTGACCCAGGTAGGACATGGACTGGTTCTTTAAATTTTATTTTTTGTTGGTTATATAACTTCATCCTAGTAAGAAATAATTGCTTTGGGTAGAGGCAATTCTTTAAACAGTTCTATGTTCAGAGGTCTATAAATTTGACTATTGGGGCTTTTAGGTCTACTATTTGTACAACTGAGAAATGTTTTGAAGTTTCAGTAGATAGTAGCTCATCATGTATAAGGTGATCTATTAGTTCATCTTAAACTTAGTGGTGGGTACTCAGGTGTTTAAAAAAACAAAATCCAAAAATATTGGAAGAACAAAAGTAAAAATTCTTTAATTATATAATTAGTTTTTATCTGTTCTAATATGCAGTTTGAATCCATTTTTATACCATTAGGAAGTAGGATAGCAACAACTCAAAACCTAAGGAAGAGCAATAGTTTTTGTTGGTTTTTTTTGCATAGGTTATAAGTGAATACAGTTTATTGTGAAAAACTCAACCTAGAAAAAGTAAAAGCCACCACCCACTAATTCCAATTCTTATCTGTAGAAGTAACCACTATTATTGGTTTGGGTTATAATTTCTTACACCTGTTTCTATGCTTTGATGTATGTATGTGTATGCATATGATACGTAGTTTTGTGGCTTTTTAAAAATGTGTGCATTGGTGTGTAGTTTTTTAACCTAATGTGTCTTGAAGATCTCTTCATGTCATTACATGTAGATCTACTTCATCTCTTTAATTGCTGTGTAATATTCCACGGCATGGAAGAGCGATAAACTTATTGAACCATTACCCTCTTAATGCACAATGTTATTTGCAGCTTATTGCTATTACAGTGCTACAGTAATGTAGCAGATTCTTGTAGTTTTTCATATGTTATCTGTTCACATGTAAGTGTTTCTCTAAGGAAGAAATGAGAAATGGAATTTCTAGAAAAACAGATATATAAGCTATAAAATTCCTCTTCAAAAGGGCTGCACCTATTTTATACCCTGTCATTGATGAATATAGGAGTAAGGGAATAACATTCTCTCCCCAACTTTCCTTTTACACTTTCTTCCTCTATAAATATGTATTGAGTGTCTAATATATGCCAACCACTGTCCTAGGCATTAGGATTTTAGTAGAAAACTATATAGTAAGGTACTTGCCCTCACGTTACTTGTATTCATATTTAATTTTTTTTAATTGACATTACCAGTCAAAAAAATTTTTGCCAATACGATGGGCAAAAGTGGTATCTCAGTGTTCTAGATTGTAGTTCCCTGATTTTTGATGAACCTAAGTATCTTTTAATATGTTTATGCCATCCTTTCCTGTGAATTGCATTCCATATTTCTTTTAGGTTGCTGTCCTATTCTTATTGATTTATGAGTCCTTCATATATTAGATATAAATCCTCTGTTATATACATTGTCTATGTTTTCTCCTATTTTTAAAACATTTGGTTACTTATCTATTGAGTTAATTATAACTAAATAAAGTGCACAGATCTTAAGTGTACAGCTTGGTGAGTTTTTTCATATTTAAAAACCCATGTAAAACTAATAGAATGTTATATGTCAGTTATATCTCAATAAAAAAATTAACTCAGAAAAATAAAAAATATAAAAATAAAAACTCATGTAACTACCACCCATATCAAGATATAGAAAATTCTCAATATCCTAGAACAGCAATAATCAGTAGAACTTTCTGTGAAGATGGACATGTATATTTTCTGTGTTCTCTAGTACTATAGCCATTATCTAAATGTAGCTGTTGAGTGCTTGAAATGTGGCTAGTGCAACTAAGGAACTGAATTTTTAATTTAATCTTTTAAAATTTAAATAGGCAGATGTATTGAGTACTCCCCTCCAGGTAACTCTTTTTCTAACTTATATCAGCATAGGTTAGTTTTGTCAATTTTTGGATATCATAAATGTAATCATACTTTGCTTGCTCTTTTGTATATGAATGGAATTATGTACTCTTGTGTTGTGCTTTTTTATTTAACAACCATCTGTGAGATTCATCTATGTCATTATATGAATCAGTATTTATGCATATTTTATTACTTTATAGTATTCTGTTATATGAATGTGCCACTCAATTCTTATATTGCTTATCCATTTACCTGCTGATGCAATTTGAGTTGTTTACTGTTTGAGCTATTATAAACAAATGAAAATTCTTATGTGTCTTTTGGTGAACATACTCATTTTCCTTTGGATATATTCTTAAGAGTAGAATTGTTGAGCCATGTGGTAGCAATATGTTTGAGCTTTAGTAGATATTGCTAAACAGTCTCCCAAAGTGGTTGAACTAATTTACATTCCCTCCAACAATGCATAATAATTGTGGTTTATTCCACATAATCTCTTACATTTGGTGTGTCGGGGGTCCCAACACCACGCCCAGGTTTGGTGATTTGCTTGGAGGACTCACAGGACTCAGTATATAGTCATGCTCACAGCTGTAACTTAATAGAGCAAAGGGACACAAAGCAAAATCAGTGAAAGGAAATGGCACATGGGACAAAGTTCAGAGGATATCAAGCACAAGCTTCCAAGAGTCTCCTCGCAATACAGTCACACAAGATGCACTTAACTCCACAACTGATCGTGACCACATGTGAAATGTTATCTACTAGGGAAACTTGTCAGAGGCTCAGTGCTCAGGGTTTTTTTTTACTGGGGCCTGGTCACAAAGCACCCTCTGCCTAGCATGTGCCAAAATTCCAGACTCCCAGAAGGAAAGCAGGTATTCAGCATAAACTATATTGTTTGCACAAAGAGTTTACGCATATTGAACCATTTTTATCAGTTTGGAGTATGGTGGGACTCTGCCAGAATCCAGGTTCCCAGAAGCCAGCCGAGGGCCAACTTTGCAAACAGGCCTTTCTGAGGATAATAGTCTAAGGCCTGCTATGTTAACTCTTCTCTGCACACTTGATAATTTCAATCATTTTAATTTTTGCTTTTCTGAGGGGTATGTAGTAGTATCTCACGTTTTCACATTTCCCTGAAGAATAATGACACTGAACACATTTTCATATATTTATTGCCCACTTGGATATTTTCTTGGTCAAGTGCCTGTTCAAGACCTTTACCTGTTTTTTCAAAATTAGTCGTCTTTTTCCCTATTGCTTTGTAGGAATTCTTCATATATTCTGGATATGAGTTCTGAGGTGTATATATCTGTATCTGTCTGTCTGTCTATAACAAATAATTTCTTCTAGTTGGTGGCTTGCCTATTCACTTTCTTAATGATGCCTTTTGTTGAATAGGCATTTTTAATTTTAATAAGGTCTGATCTACCAATATTTTTCTTATGTGGATACTGCTTTTGTCTCCTGTTAAGAAATTAACTACCCCAAGGTCCTGGAGATATTCTCTTGTGTTTTCTTCTGGAAGCTTTATGGTTTTACCTACCACATTTATGTTTGTGATCCACCTCAGATTGACTGCGTTTGGTGTGTGGAAGAGATTAAGAGTCTCTATTTTCTGTAAGGGTGTACAGTTGTGTTCCAACACCATTATTCAGAAGACCTGCCTTTTCCCACGGAGTGGCAGTGACATCTTCATTGTAAATCAAGTGATTGTATGTGTGTTGGTCTCTTTCTGGACTATTTATTCTGTTAGTCTCTTTGTTTATCCTTGTGCCAGTAATGTACTGTCCTTATTACTATAGTTTTATAAAAATCTATCTTGTAGTTTAAATCTTCTAACTTTGTTCTTCAAGATTATCTTGACTCTTCTTTTCCTTTTTATGTAAATTTGGGAAACTGTCAGTTTCCACACATAAAATAATCCTGCTGGGATTTTAATTCATATTGTATCAAATTAGATTTAGAATTAGCATTGCATTGCATTGGAGAGAATTGATATCTTAACAGTATTGAGTCTCGTGACCATGAAATGTCTTTCATTTTATTGAATGTTCCTTTTACTTTCCCTTATCAGTGTTTTTTAGTTTTTAATGTAGAGGTCTTGCATATCTTTTATTAGATTTATGTCAAAGTATAATATTTGTAATTTTTCAAATATTGTAAATGGTATTTCATTTAAAAACATTTTCCCTGATATGTAGAAATAGTTTATTATTGTATATTGACCTTGAATCTAACAATCTTATTACATTCACTTATTGTTTCTAGTATATTTGGAGTTTTCTATACACACAGTCATGTTATCTGTTAATAGACAATTTGAATTTTGATTTTCTGGCGTGTACACTTTTTAATTCTTCTTCATTTCCTATTGTACTGGCTAGGACCTCAGGTACAGTGTTGAACAGTGGACATCCTCCTCTTGTTCCCAATCTCAGAAGGAAAGCATGTGATAATCTTTGAGTGTATCTGGTGTAGGTATCATTTAACATATGAAGGAAATTTTCTCCTATCCCTAGTTTCTGAGAGTTTTTTTTCATGATCAGGTATTGTATTTTATCAAATGTTTGTCCTGCATATTGAGGTAATCATAAGATAATTGTGAGTTCTAAATGAAATAGTGAGTTTTAAATATGATAAGTGAATGATACCATGTCTAGTCCAAAATAAGTACTCAATTTTTGGCTATTCTTTTTTTTTTTTTAAATTGGAGTAAAATTGCTTTACAATGTTGTATTAGTTTCTGCTGTACAATGAAGTGAATCAGCTATATGTATACCGATATCCCCTCCCTCTTGGACCTCCCTCCCACCCCCCAACCCATCCCACCCATCTAGGCCATCACAGAGCACCAAGCTGAGCTCCCTGTGCTGTACACCAGGTTCCCACTAGCTAGCTATTTTACACATGGTGGTGTATTTATGTCAAACCTAGTCTCCCAATTTTGTCCCACCCTCCCCTTCCCCCCAACCCCCTGCTGTGTCCACATGTCTGTTCTCTACATCTTCGTCTCTATTCCTGCCCTACAAATAGGTTCATCTGTACAGTTTTTCTAGATTCCACATATATGCGTTAATATATGGTATTTCTGGCTTACTTCACTCTGTATGACAGACTCTAGGCTATTATTCTTTTTTTTTTTTTTAGGCTTTTATTCTTTTGTGGACTTTTTCTTATATAAGACCTAAGAGGCTAGTATCACTTCTCAGGCTGCGAGGATTGACGTAAAGGTTTTTTAACCAGTTTTCATATTTTGAGATGGGTTGATCAGTTGTAATAATTGTGCAGTGGGATGTTGGGATGATTGCTTGAGAATTTTAAACATGGATTCTCTTAACTTTTTTTCCCATGCTTATATTGTTTCTTTGTCAGGTGGCTGTCATTTATGACATTAGTTTTGTTTGTTTGTTTGACAGGCCTTTTTGCTTCTTTATATTATTTTAAAAGTAATTATATTTTAGATACTTCATCACTAACTGTTAGTACTAGGACAGACTATTCTAATGCTAGAAACCAAGTGTATATTTTTTCAAATTTTGTTGGAGTGCATGCAGTTGGTATTGAGGTCTTGTGTCATAGACTGGGATGTAGGAATCTAGCAGAGCTAGATTTGTAGACTGGCACCACCCTTATTTTTAGCCAGTATTGCTAGTAGAGGCTATGTTTCCTTTCTGAGCCTTGTTTTTCTCTCTTAAAAAAAAGTTTGCATTTTCTAGAATTTTATATAAATTTTATGTATTTACAGTATGGTTTTTGTGTGTGTGTGAATTCTTTTAGCATAATTATTTTGAGATTCATATATGTTGTTGTGTGTATCAGTAGTTCATTCATTTTTATTGCTTAGTAGTGTTCCTTAGCATGGATATAGCACAGTTCATCTATTCACTTTTTGATAGACTTTCCAAAAATGGGCATAAGGAAGCTTTTTATCTTGATTGTAGTGACTGCTTCATGGGTATGTAGTTAACAAATGTACCCTTTAAATTATTGTATGTTGATTATACTTCAAAAAATACTGTTTAAAAGTTTGTCATATGATCAGTGGTTGACAAGAAGAAAAAAATGAAAGTATTTCTGTCTTGTTCTAATGAATCTTCAGTTTGAAAACCCTACCTATTTATTTATTTATTTATTTAATAAACAAATATTAAATACTTTAAAAGCCAATAATAGTTTGTATTACTCTGGGTTGTTCAGGGTTAAATTACATATCATATTTTAAGATATTTGGCATGTAAGTGTTCAGTGAAGTTTAATATTTTATGTACTTTCTTTTTCCAAGTTTTAATTAACAGTACTCCCTATTTTTAATGAACTTGTTGCATATATGTTGGTTTGATTGGGTTAATGAAGAGTCAGAGGAAGTTGTTCTGGAAGCTCAAGCTTTTTTTTTCTTCAGAATGCTATGTCTTCCTCATTTATTTCAGATGCTTTAGTTTCCACATTCAAATTTGTAATCCAAATCTGGAATAATTTAAACTTACTTTTCTCTCAACATGCATCTTATGTATTTAGAAATTAATTTTTGTCTTACCTTTAGGTAAATCGGGGCAAATTTTTAATCTGTTTTACTTTCTTTAAAGTTAATCTTATTTGAATTATAACCATTGTATATGTACTTATAGAAAACGTTTGGAATTCAAAATGATCCCAGTTGAAACCATTATAATTTCAAGCTTTAGAAATTAGCTTAAAATGCGCTGTTAATCCATTGCCACTTCCCCAAAAAGAAAAAGTAAATAATAAGACTTTATATAGGTCCCACTTCTAAGAATTTAAATACACTACGCTCCCTTATTCCTTTCATGTAGACTTAGGTCAACCTAAAATTTATGGCTAGGAAAGGCTTAAAAATTTTACTCAGCATTTTAGAGCCGGGGCTAGAAGAGAAATTTTTAGAGAATCTGTTAAAGCAGGAGTTCTTAGGTAGTGGATTAGATCCAAACTAATAGTTCTCAAAGCCAGCGTTAGATAGATGTCCTAGATTCTCCCTTCAGTTTGCCACTTGAGAGTTTGCCATTTTAATGATGTTGGGCAAGATGCTATCTCTGCATTCAGTTTCACCACATGTAAAATGCACTGATGACTTCTCAGTGATTAGCGATGAGATCATGTGTATGAGAAAGCTTTGGGCATATTCAGAAATGGTACATATAAGAATGTGTGGCCCTCCTGCTCTTTGCTGCTTGTATTCCTCTTGATCAAGTTTTTCACTTAACAGTTGGCCAGAGTTCCCAGGTGGGAGGGGTAGTCAGTATCCTTTCAGTATCTCCTCCCTTCCCTCAGGAGGCTAAAGGACAATGAAAAGGAGTTCCTTTTTAATGGAAATAATGAGGGCCTCTGCTCCTGAGTATACTGCTTCATTGGAGATACATGTTATTTTTTGATCTGAGGAATTTTGATATCATAGGGAAAGTAGAGTAATAAAACACTTAAAATACAACCTAAGTATTTTGTCTCTAATTGCAAGTGTTTATTGAGCTTGTGCCAGGATCTGTTCTTCACAATAGCGAGTCACATAAAGCTGGAGTAATTGCCCAAGGTTATATAGCTGGGATTCAAATACAGACATGTTGTTTCTAGAGCCCAAACTCTTAACCAGTCTGTCATACTGTCTTACCAATTATTATTCAACCCCAGGTATCAGGGTGAGACTTTGAAAGTGATGCATGTTCATTGTAGAGAAAGCAAAACAAAAGCTCGTATTTCCATAATCCAGAGATAATCACTGTTAAAGTAGTTCCTCCCCATTTTTTCCTATATCAGACCATTTCCCTGTTATTGTACATTAAGATTCTTTCCAATTTTCACACTGTTATAAATAATACTACAGTGATATTTCTAGAAGTGGAATTCTTGGGTCAGAGGGCATGATCATAAATGCTTGCCATGTATTGATTTCCAGATTGTTGTCTGGGAAGATTTATATTCTCTCCAGCACTGTTTGTAAGTGCCCTTGTAGGTTTGTTTCAAAAATGAGAATGATATAAGAAAAAAGTTACTTTCTTTTGTTTGTTGCTGTGTTTTGAATGCCATACCTTTACCATGCTTCTACTTTATTTCTGACAGATATCTGCAAAAATTATTTATCTCTGTGGAAGTGGTTCTCAACTGGGGAGTGTGTTTTGCCTCCCAGGGGTATTTGGCAAGGTCTGGAAACATTTTTGATTGTCATGAGGTGGAGTGGTACTACAGGCACTAGTGGGCAGAGGCCAGAGATATGCTGCTAAACATCCTACAATGCATAGAACAGGCACCACGACAGAATTATCCCGTCTAAACTGTCAGTAGTACTGAGGCTAAGAAAACTTGCTTTTATAGTAAGCTCCTGAAATCTAGAAGGAATCTATTTATTGACAAGACACTTACTTCTGCTAGGTCTTATCCTATTTAGGAATAAAGGAGTTCATGTTTTTCTGGCTTTAACAACAAAGCAGGCAAAATTTGTTTGGTTAGTCTCTGGGTTGTTGAGTTCTTCATATTTCAAATATAAAATCTAATGGAATCAATTCTCAGAGAACTTTCCTAAGCCCCCCTGAACAGTTTTGAAATGTTTTCTGTCTCTCTCTTCATGATTCTACAGTTGTATTTTCCTTTAGATTTGCCTTAGCTGCTGTTTTATTTGGGGTTACCATTAAAATATATAATGTCTCTGATTCCCCAAAGTAAAAAAACAACTTCTTGTGGGATTTGGTAATTTGAATGTGTTTGGAACATAAACCCAAAGCTACTCCTCCAACATAAAATATAGTTATTTGGGGTTCAATTCTTTTCAGTTTTCTTCTCTTACTAGGTATAATAAAAACCTTGTTGCAACTAATAATGGCATTCATAAAAGTATCTTAGGGCTTCATTTTTTTTTATCATTAATAGGCAGGAAGATGTTCAGTGCATCCAGTTCCTCTCTTAGCTGTGGTCAAGGAAACATGATAATCTTATCTGTTGGCTGGCGGGGCGGGGTGGGGGGCAGTGCACTGACAGTCATACTTATTCTTCTTCTTACTTTTTCACGTAGGTTCCAAAAAACTTGCAAATTTCTCTGAATTCTTTTAAATACATATCTTGTGACTGCTATAGCTGAAATAATTGTTGTCTTTGTTCTATTTTTATAGTTCTACTTTCTCCAAAAAAAGCTGTTCACGGGCTTTGTCCTTTTGTGCTTCGCAGGAACCAGCACCTATGACAGAAGATCTGCTAGAAGAGCAGTCAGAGGTTCTAGCTAAATTGGGTACATCGGCAGAAGGGGCTCACCTCCGAGCACGCATGCAGAGTGCCTGTCTGCTCTCAGATATGGAGTCTTTTAAGGTGGGTCACGTTATCAGAGCTTGGGAGTCTATTTTGAGCTATTCCGGGATGAAGCTGTGAAAGTCACTCTGTAAAGTGGTGTGAAGGCCTGCGTGTCTTTTTTTTTTATTAAATGTTTAAATTTCATTCGTAGTTACAACACCCTACCTCCATCCCCTAAAGGTCATAGTCAAACTTGCTTCTTGAGTTTAGAAAAGAAAAGAACAATCTTTTTCTAAAAAATGATTCTATTTTTTAAAAATAAATTTATTTCATTTATTTTTGGCTGCGTTGGTTGGGTCTTCGTTGCTACACGTGGGCTTGCTCTGGTTGCTGTGAGCGGGGGCTACTCTTTGATGTGGTGCATGGGCTTCTCATTGTGGTGGCTTCTCTTGTGGCAGAGCACGGGCTCTAGGCATGTGGGCTTTAGTAGTTGTGGCTCGCGGGCTCTAGAGTGCAGGCTCAGTAGCTGTGGTGCCCGGGCTTAGTTGCTCTGCGGCATGTGGGATCTTCCCGGACCAGGGCTCAAACCCGTGTGCCCTGCATTGGCAGGCAGATTCTTAACCACTGTATCACCAGGGAAGTCTGAAAAGAATAATCTTTGAATAATGGTTGGAAGTTGAGAACTGAATCATTTCTATATGAGGATTGGGATGTTTTCTTCCTTTAGGTATGTTCAGTCAATTTAATGCAAGGTTTTTAGAAATCCTTAGGATTTAACATAGGCTGCTTCATTCAGCAAACCTTTGATTACCTGCTTTGTGACAGGCACTGTGATTAGGTAATTAAGAAGTACAATGTTTATCCTCAGTTACAGTCTATTGAGGTAGTGGGAGGAGATATGTAAATAATTACTATGTGATGAGTTCTCTTAGGAGAGCAAGGTCAAAAAGGTGACTGACTGTACTGAGTGGAGGTCATGGAAAATTTTTCAGAAGCATCACAGTTTAGGATGAATAGGCATTTGCTACCTGGAGAAGAATATTTTAGGCATAGATACAGGCCTGTATCTAGAACACAAAGGATTCAGAGAATAGTGACACTTAGCTTATTAATTTAAAAACCAAAGGATGAAGAAAGTCTTTTTGGATTATTTATTTTTGAAAGCAGAGGCAAATCCATGTACATTAAAAAAAAAAAAGGGTAGCTCAGTGGGCCATAGGGCTTCCTTTTCCTATTATTGATACTCTGAACTGTCTCCCATGCCCAGACTTTCTTCCTTAACCTACTGCTACCTGTGATGGCCTCCATTTCTTCATTCCACAGCTCCTACTCAGTCCTGTTTTTGTGTTAGGTAGGCCAGCCTGAGTTTGATATTTCAACATAAACACCCCGTGAAAACCTATGCTACTTTCATCTTCCCTGCTAGCAGAAAGTGACAATAAAAGGGAGTCTTTTTATTCCCTGCTTGTTTCCCCCATCTTTCCTAAAAGAAGAAATCTTCAGTAAACCTCTCAAGAGCTGCATGTTTTCCATAGAGATTAGAAAGATACAGAAAATCTTTGAGTTCTATTCTGCTGTGAGGCAAGAAAAAGAGATGTGTTTTAAAACAGATAGTTGGTACACTGGATAAAGAGAAGCCAATTGGCTCTCAGGGTATGTGTTAAATCAAAAAGTTAGAGGAGGGAATTGGCTTAGGGTGTGTGTGCACAGTAGGAAGTACTAGCCTCCATAGCAGCTATTTTTTTTTACCTGACCTTTAGCTGCCTTCATATTCATCTGTCCCTATTCTGCTACAGCGTCCTTGTAGAAGCATGTACAGGAGGAAATTCCAAATTGGAGCTGTAAAAGCTTTTCCCCATAGAAACCTTTGCTCCTCATGGTAAGGTGCTATATAATTCCTTTAACACGGTGCTTCAGCAAAACTGTGGTTCGTTAGACTCTTTTGGACTAACCTGGGTAATGTAAAAATCTCTTCAATAACATTGTTTTAACCAGAAAATAGATTATATGTCAAATAACCAACTTACACATCTGCCCATATGTGGGAATCAGATAATATATTTAAGGAAATACGTAGTCACGCTAAAATAGGTATGGTTGCCTTTCTCTTTTTGTATAGGGATGACTTGGTATTAGGGGCCATGGGAGAGTCCCCAGAGCTTTGCATTAATGCTGATAGGTACATGAGGCACCTACACTGCACAGTTCCAGAAGGACAGGGCCTGTTCTCGAGCATGCCCTTGGAGTATATACCTGTAAGAGTAGAAAGAAGATAAGCCATAGCTGAAGTGAGTTTTAAGCCTCTCCTAGTAGCGCTATGTTCTGTCTGGTATAATAAGGACAACCAGAAGGAAGAATTCTGGTGTGAACTGTCTTTCTTTAACCCATTCTCTAGTACAAGAGTTCAGTCTTGTTTTCTTTTTCAGGTTCATTCTCCACTCAAGGCCTATCTCTCTAGTTTCCTGAGATGTTTTTATGAGGGTGTGGTCTTGCCTGGTTAATATCCAATCTTAGTACATGAATCCTGAATCATGCAGTAATCTTGACCCATTGCAGTTCACAGCAGTTTTTTGTTGCTGTGATGCCATAGCCCTTAGAAGTTTATGTTGTTGGCTGTCAGTTAAGAACCCTCCTGATTTCTCATCCCTTTGGGCATTTCCTAAAATTGGTGGGGATGATTATACTGGCAGCCAGTAAGCTCAATAAGGAGAAGTTGGCAGTTTTACTCTTCAAATTTAAGACTAACCATTCTCATCATGTTGGTTTTCATTTTGGTGTGAGGTTAATTTAAAAAAGAAAGAAAATGACCATATGCTTATCACTTTTTAGTAATGCTTACATCACGTACTGTTTCAGGCAATTAAATATAGTACTCATAGCAGGATGAATATGTTGTGGTAGAGAATTATAACCAAAAAGGTATGTGTTTAATATGTGTACACATATCCTTTGAATATTAAGGGGATGATATATATGCCCATCCTTAATACTCTACTAATATATTACTGGGCACTGGCAAAAAGACCTCCATGCCTTACCACTAACACTGTAAAGCCTCTCCCTTTTTTTTCAGGCTTGAATGTAGAAGTACTTAAAGGATTTTGGCATGCATCATTGTTAATTCTATGGAATTATCCACTAAATAAAACTTTAATTAGTTTGGTTTCAGAAGCCTGAAAAACAGTGATTTTAATTCCAATTCCTTAGTGGCACAAAAGCAGATTTTAATTCTAATTCCTTAATGGCACAAAAGCAGTTTATGTAATGGTAACTTGTTATATAAAGCATGAGAATTTGATGGCTGAATAGAACATTTTTGAGGTTAGCTGATATTTATTGCAGTATCAGTATTGACTTATTGAGGAAAAAAAGAGCAGAACTTTTCCATCATTGGGTTATTATTCTGATCATGTTGTGTATTATTTAATTTACTTGACGAGCTTATTGATACTTTTCTAAGTATTGAGTAGTTATTATACTATAATTTTAAATTAACTTATATAACTTATAGTCTGAGATTTATTTTCACTTTACATCAAATTTTTATTTCCAAATTCATCAAATGAAAATGTTTTCTTTTTCTATAAAATGGGGGCAGCAAAAATAAAGTACTTTTGGTGCTTTAACATCTGACCTGATTTAAAGGTGACACTGTAACTCAAGTCACATACTAGATTTTGTAAAGATTGGTCTTTTTGTGAAAGTGAAAGTATGATTTTTGAAAACAGGTTTATCAGTAACTGTTGATTTTTATTTGATTCTGCTGAATTTTTTGTCTGTTTTAGGCAGCTAATCCAGGCTGTTTTCTGGAAGATTTTGTGAGGTGGTACTCACCCCGGGATTACATTGAAGAGGAAGTGATTGATGAAAAGGGCAACATGGTTCTGAAAGGAGAACTGAGCGCCCGAATGAAGATTCCAAGCAATATGTGGGTAGAAGCCTGGGAAACAGCTAAGCCAATTCCCGCTAGAAGGCAAAGGAGACTCTTTGATGATACACGGGAAGCAGAAAAGGTAACTGACGTTTGAGTATACTAATTGTTGTTCTAGTATTTTAAAAACTATGATAGATTTGAAAGCTTTGGACATACTTGAGAAGCAAAGCATTGAAATGTAATGAACCTTTTACATATTGAATATTCACATTTAAGATTTTAGAACTGGTTACAGGTAGTCCAAAGAATAAGACATGCATATTTTACATAGAATGTTTACCATTGGACCATCTCACAGCATATGTCAAAAGCCTTAAAAATGATCATGTCTTTCGACCTAGCAGTTCTACTGCCAAAAAAATGTATTAAAGGAATAATGAGAGATACATAAAGATCAGTGTTCAAGAATGATGTTTAAAAAGTTTCATAGTGAAAAAGTAGATACAGCCAACATTTCCAAAAATAAGGCTTTGTTTAATAAATTATGATATATCATTTAGTAGACTACTTTGCAATTATTAAAAAAAAACATTGGAGTTCTGGAGAATATTGGCAGCCACCTGATATCAAGTTGTCCCACATACCCTTCCACCCACCCAACTCCCGAAAAACCCCATGAAATTAAGTAAAGTACAGAAATCCATGCTGTCAGCATTACTACAGTTAGAGATGACAGTGATCTTTGAATTAACTAAGTAAGTAGAGAAATAAGCCAGATTCCAGTGGATATCCCACTGTTGTAAGCCTGTGGGTGTAGAGAGTATGGACAGGGAGTCTTAAGAAGAAATGCTGAGGGATACAGAAGACTTAAATGCAGCCCAGTCACTCCAGAAAGATTGCTCCTAACACTAAGTGTCAAAATACTCAACACAGGTAGGGCTTGAGAGTTAACAGCACTGGCTGTTAACTGGCACTGGCTACAGGGAAGTGGCTTGACAGTAAGCAGGACCAGAAGTGGACACTCAGAGAGACTCTGCCTTAGGAAGAACCAGGTAGATAAGTAGGAATGATATACCCCTTAGAGATAAAGCATTGATGAGAAAGAAGGAAACAAGGGGAAGATTAAAGATTCTGTAGGAATGAAAGAAAAATAAGACATATCAACCTCCCTCATCTCCCGCCATCCATTAAAGAAATTATGCAGAAGAGGGCACTTTTGAACTGTGACATGACCAATAATAGTAAAGAGCAGACCACATCTATATAAAACAACTATAAAAAATGGAAAGCACAAATTGGATCATTTCAGCTAATAAAAACATTTCCCAGAAAACTGACCACAAAGCAGAAGAAAATTGTAACATAACAGTCCAAACTGAGTCAAATATTCTCAAACAAGCATGGGGGATATGAAAAATCATGTTTAATTAGAAATACTAAAAACAAGAGCACAAATGAATCCAAAACCCCACAAAGAAATGAAACTACTGTTGATTTAACTCAGGATAGAAATATAAGAAAAAGACAACCATATCAAAAACAAAGACTAAATTACATGGCACCCACAGAAGAATAGGTTCATATTTAAATTTAATAAAAGGCATTGAGGAAAAGCAGCAAAACAGCCAAGAGCAAGAAAATGAGGTAAAGGAGTAAAGAGACTGGGGAGAAAATAGTAAAAATGAAAGATAGGAAAAGTAGGAATAATACTCATTTTATCAGAGTCCTTGAAGCAGAAAAATCAAAGCACTGGAACAGAACTAATACTTAAAACTGCAATTTAAGAAAACTTTGTGGTTATGAAAGAAGACCCAAATTTACACATTGAAAGGGCTCACTGAGTACAGGGGAAAGTTGACTAGGAGTAGTGAACTCCAAATTATGTCACTGTAATACTACTAGACCTTAAATCTTTAAAAAACAAAAACAACTCAGACCCTGCAGGCAAAAACATGAAAATAATTTACAAGGGAAAGAGAACGAGAGAGTTGTCAGATTTCTCAACAGCAGGGCAGTGTGGAGCAGTTTTCAAGAAATATAAGGAAAAAATACACACTAAAGATTTTACATTCCACCAAGATGTCCAGGTAGTCAAGGCTATAAAAAATGTTTTCTCTGAGTTTTTGCCCATATAACTGTATACGTGTGCCCTTCCTGAGGAGTCCACTACAGCTGCCCCAGTCCAGTAGAACTTCCTGCAGTGTTCAGAATGGTTATAGCTATGCTGTCCAAAATGGTAGCCCCTGGCCATATGTGGCTTTAATGAGCACTTGAAATGTGGCTTGTATAACATAGGAACTGGATTTCTAAATGGCTGCATTTGGCTAGTGGCTGCCTTATTAAACAATATGGTATAGGAGGATGAACTTACCCAACCAAGAGATGACTAGGGAAACTTTGGCAAAGGGCTTATGGGTGAGCGTTTCATTTATTTAATTTTAGAGCTAAGACTAAAACTAGATGGGGACATGGGTAGAAGAAGAATATGTAAAAACTGTATATTAGGGCAAAGTAGAGAGAATGTAGCTATAAAAGTTGGGATGGAAAAAGAGAGGAGGAGGAAAGTAGAATGAAATCATTGTCTGTTACATAGATAATAAGTGGTAAGCAAAGGATACCATTTAAAATTATCAGACCAGTTCATAAAATAGTTAAAGATATAAGTGAATTAAGAGCAGCATAAAAGGTATTAATACAAGGTTATATACTAGAATAAAAATATAAACCTTCCTAAGTACAATGGAAAAATTATTCAAAAGCAAAGAACACACACCAAATAGAGTAACACATAATAAAAATCGTATCACATGCAGAGTAATTACAGTATAAGATAGTCATATAAAACCCAACTCTGCTGTAAACAAGGCATTCTGTTATTCTTTTTAGGAAGTAACTATAACAATGTACCTAAACCTGTAGCCTTCAGAAAGGCTACAAAGTAAACAATGGACAGAGATTTACCAGGTAAATGAAAACATTAAGAAAGCAGGAGTTTTAATCCTAATGCCAAACAAAATAGAATTGAAGCAGAAAAGCATTAAATGAGATACACAAGGATGCTTTATAGTCTAAAAGTGATATTTCACAATGAGGATATATAGTTGTTAATGTTTATGTACTAGATAACATGGTAACCATTTGTATAAAACAGAAACCATGGGAGATGCAAAAACAAATAGATCAAAACACACTAATAACAGAGGACTTTTAACACACTCAATACAAGACAGATAAACAAAACTAATAAAAGATCTAAACAAGATAATAAGGTTGATCTTTTAGATGTATCTCAAACACTATACCTTGACAATAGAAACTGTACTTTCTTTTCAAGCACGCATGGAACATTCACAAAAACTGATAGTAGGGACTTCCCTGGTGGCACAGTGGTTAAGAATCCACCTGCCAATGCAAGGGACACAGGTTCAAGCCCTGGTCTGGGAAGATCCCACATGCCGCGGAGCAACTAAGCCCGTGCGCCACAACTACTGAGCCTGAGCTCTAGAGCCCGCGAGCCACAACTAATGAGCCCGTGGGCCACAACTACTGAAGCCCGCGCACCTAGAGCCCATGCTCCGCTACAAGAGAAGCCACCTCAGTGAGAAGCCTATGCACCACAACAAAGAGTAGCCCCTGCTCACTGCAACTAGAGAAAGCCTGTGTGCAGCAACGAAGACCCAATGCAGCCCAAAAAAAAAAAAAAAAAATTTTTAGATAAAGAAACAAAAACAAAAAACTGATAGTATATTAGGGCACAAAGAAAATATCAGTGGGTTTCATAGTGACAGTAAGACCAATATTCTGATCTCTGCAATAAAACTAGTAATTAAAAATTAAAAACCCTTGGCCTTTCAACTGGAAATTTAAACAGCACTTAGGTGAAAGGGGAAATACAAAGAGGAACTATAGAATTCCTGAAAAATAATGATGATGAAAATACTGCATAACAGAGCCTATAGGATATACTTAAGAAGAGATCAAAGGAAAATCCATAGCCCTAAATACCTACATCAAGAAAAAGCAAAAGAGGTGGTGCAGTGGTTAAGAATCCGCCTGCCAGTGCAGGGGACACAGGTTCAATATCTGGTCCGCGAAGATCCCACATGCTGCGGAGCAACTAAGTCTGTGCACCACAACTACTCAGCCTGCGCTCTAGAGCCCGCAAGCCACAGTTACTGAAGCCCGTGCGCCTAGAGCCTGTGCTCCGCAACAAGAGAAGCCACCACAATGAGAAGCCTGTACGCCGCAACTAGAGAAAGCCCACACACAGCAACGAAGACCCAATGTAGCCAAAAATAAATAAATAAATAATAAAATAAATTTATTTTAAAAATTATTTAAAAAAGCAAAAGAATGAAAATTATTGGATTAATAAATTCCTAACTCAAAACCCTAGAAAAAGAACAACAAAGTAAAACCAGATGAAAATTAAGGAAGGGCAGTCATAAAGATAAAATGCAGATAACAATGATGGTAGAGAACAGAAAAACAGATCAAATTAATAAATCTGGTTTTAAAAGTAATCAAAGTAGATAAGCCGTTAGCTACCTTAATTACAAAAGAAAGGGAAAAGCATGCATATGCAAAATAAATGATGAAAAGGGCAAATGACTATTGATTCAGAGGAAGTATTTTTTTAAACATACTGAAAATTTGAAAACTGAGATGAAATGGATGATTTCTTAGGAAAATGCAGTGTACCAAAACTGACCCCAGTAAAGACAAAGTATATATAAACAGACCAGTTTCCAAAGAAGAAATAGAGACAGTTATCAAGGAATAACCCTGTAAAAAAGCACCAGGCCTAGATGGTTTCACAGGGGAATAGAGAGACCATGTAGTTCCAGTGCTGCACAAATTGTTTCAATGCATAGTAATTGAAGGAAATTTTCCAGAGTCTTTTTATGAAGTAACTATAACAATGTACCTAAACCTGATAGAGACAGCATACAAAAAAAAGTTACAGACCAGTAATAAGAAATTAAATGCAAAAATGCTAAGTGAACAGACTCTATTATCACTTTAAGAAAATAATACATGTTGATTGAATGCAAGGATAATTATTTGGAACTCTATTTATACAGTATAATTGACTGGATTAACAAATCTAAGTAGAAAATTGTATCATTATGAAGCAGA